TTGGGGACACTCTACCCCTGGCTGAGCCCAGCGACTCCCAGGCGTGGTTTCCAGCCCCTTCTCCCCTCCCCAGGGAGGCTGTGGGGATCGGGAGAGGAGGGCGCCAGGTGGAAGGCACTCCATGTCCCTGGAAAGTGGCTGTGCAAACAGAGCTGCCAGCACATGCTTGGGACAGGGTGAGGTGGCTGGAGTGCTTCCTGGTGGCGCTGAGTGCCGCACATGTCCAGTCCGCACACGTCCTGTCTGTCCACCCCAGCTCAGCTGGGCCCTGCAGGAGGGCACCCTGCCTGGTCCGATATCTGGTCCTTGGGGGGATTTTTTTTTTCAGTATTGCAGTACTGGGGATCAAAGCCAGGGCATTTGCACTGAGCTGCGATCCCAGCCCTTTTTATTTTTCTCTTTGGGACAGGGTCTCACCAAATTGCTAAACTGCCCAAGCTGGGTTTGAGCTTGTGATCCTCCTGCCTCAGCCTCCCAAGTGGATGGGATGACAGGTTTGCACACAGGCCCAGCTCATGTTTTGACCTCCTTCCCAGAGCACAAATGCAGAGATACCCTACTGGGCTGAGGTTCCTGCAGATGAGGGCTCTGTGTCCTGGTGTCCCATGCTTCGAGCAGTGACTCCACAGCAGCCCAGGCAGGACAGCATCCCTGCCCCGCTTCCATCAGCGCGGGCTTCCTCTGAGCCCAGGCCGTGCACTCTGTCCCTAGAGGTGACAGGGCCAGCCCGGGCCCCACCCAGAGCAGAGGTAGTAGACTAGGACCTGCCTGACCCTCACGGTCAGGGTCCCTCGCAAGCATGCCGCCTGCCAGGTAGGGCTGGCCTTGGCCCTCCAGTGTCCCTGGGGTGAGAAACGGACCCCACCCAGCCAGGGGCAGTGCCGTCCCCGCGTCCACGACTCTGCCCCTTGTGGCCTGGCCAGAAGGTGATGCAGCCCAGCATCTCCCATCGTTTCTAGGAGTGGGGTTTCCGAGCCAGCTCTCGCTTGTGGCTCGGGCTGGCCTTGGTCTCATCGTCCTCCTGCCTCAGCCTCTGGGTTACAAACACACACTGCCATTACGGCTTTCTGCGTCCTTCTCATTACCTGGCAACTGAAGGGGTGGGCGAGGCCCCGGGACACTTGGTGGAAGTGCCCTGTGTGTCCTTATTTGAGGGATGGGAAGCGGCTGCCCAGGCCGGACAGGGTGCCTGGCGGGCACACGCACCTGTGAACGTGTGGCTGTGTGTGACCACCCCGGCAGACGAGCTCTGTAGACGGCCCTTTCTGTGCAGACCTGTTCTGCCCTGTGTGCCCAGGACAGGGTCCTGACCCAGCCCAGGCAGAGACGGGAGAGGGAGTGAGCCCTGAGCTGGCGCTCAAGGGCCAGGCTGCCGCCCCAGAACGATTCTGCACATTGTGATGCGGGTTTGCTGGAAGATTAATAAATCATTTCTGTGCCTTTAGCAAAATTCCTGTGTTGCTCTTAAAAAGGGATCATCCATCTACCGGGACCACAAGGTTAAGGGAGCCCCACTAGGGAGCCCCGCTAGGCTCGCGGCGGGGCAGCCGGACAGAGAGAGAGAGAGTGAGGGCGAGGGTGAGGTAAGCAGTCCCTCCGGGAACCCGGGGTCCCAGCTCGCAGCTCTGCCACGCAGGTGTCTTTGGTACAACACATCTCTGCATTTCTGGTTTCTCTTGGGGCTTTGGAGGCCTTAAATTCCAGGAGCTGGAATCACGCCTTCCCGAGGGTCGCCCTCCTGCAGGGATCAGTGCTTGCCGGCCGGGAGCCTGTGCCCTGGCACAGTGGGTGAAGCTGGTGGCAGGCAGGGCCCTGCTCCCCTGGGTGCCCTGCCCCTGACCTCGGTGGGCAGCTGTCTGGGAAGACTGACACATGGGCAGCGGTGGCTGCCACCAGGACCGGGGACAGCACCTGCCGTGGAGGTGGACTCCCTGACAAGCAGCCCTGAGGTCAGGGGCTGCTGGCTGCCCACCCTGGGCCTCGGTGGCCCCCGCATGCGCTGGTGGCTGCGCGGATGCCGCGTCCTGAGCCTCCCCGGGGCTCCCCCTCTGGTGCTTCTGTGGCCTCTCGGCTGTCCCCTCCCCACAAGGCCTCCCTGCCTGTGAGCGGCCAAGGGTCACACGGTCCCCGTCTCATCTCCGCAGGGCCCACTGCTGCGCTGGCTCAAGGTGAACTTCAGCGAGGCCTTCATCGCCTGGATCCACATCAAGGCCCTCAGGGTGTTCGTGGAGTCTGTGCTCAGGTGCTGGGCCCCAGCTGTCCTGAGGGTGGGTGGGGCGCCTCCTCCAGCAGCTTCCTGTTTCTGTGGCTCTTGGTCTCTGGCTTGTAGGATAGGCTCTGGGCATGGTGGTAAAAGTCAGAGAGCCCACCACTTTGTGAGGCTGGGGCAGGAGAATCATAAGTTCGAGCCCAGCCTGGGGAATTTGGCGATTTAGTAAGACCCTGTCTCAAAAAATAGAAGTGCTGGGCATGCAGCTGAGTGCAGAGGTGCCAGGTTTAATTCCCGGTACTGGGAAAAAGATCCAAGGTTCAAACAGGATGGGTGCCACGTGAGCCACAGGCTGCTGTAGGGACCGGGTAGCTGGGTGACGGCCCGATGTCAGAAGAGTAGAGATCACAGGGTGTCACTATGCTAGGTGTGGGGACTGATGACCTGGGAGAACAGAGGGGCAGAGATTGCCACTGTGCCAGCTCTGGCACTCCAGGAAGATGGGCCGAGCTCGAGGCATTAATCTCCCCTGTCCAAGGTGATGAAGCCCAGAGGTGGGGGTGGACACTGCCACTAGAGCTGCTTCCAGGGTGGAACAGGGGTCCTCATCCACCCCGGGCGACTTGGCAGTGACCGTGGGTGACGAGGCTGCAGTATGGGGCTGTGTGGAGCAGAGGGAGGAGAGTCTGGGGCTGAGAGGAGTGAGGGTGCCTGGCCCCTGCTCCCACCCCACTGTGTGGGACAGCTGCACATATCCTAAGGCTTCGGGATGCTGGTGACCCCACACTGAAGAGAACCAGAAGGTGGGGGGCAGCCAGCTGGGCTGCTCCACTCACAGGGACCCATCCTGCGCCCACCAGGCTGGACTTAGGCTCAGAGCACTGTGGTCCCCCCAGGCCCACCACCCCCAGCCTTTGCGGCTCTGACAGCAGACTCTGGGAATCCATGCACTCGGTGAGGAAGGAGGACTGGGAGGCAGGGCCACCTGTGGACCAGGAGATGAAGCCATCTGATGCCAGCAGCTCCCTGACTCAGGGCCACAGGAGGGCCTAGGGTTGTTTTTTTTTTGGTACTGGGAATCCAACTCAGGACCTTGCCAGGCAGGCGCTGTGCTGCTGAGCTACATCCCTGGCCCTTATTTTGTTTTTAAAGACAGGGTCTCGCTATGTAGCCCAGCAGCATGGCTGGGTCCCCCACATGCTGGAACCACCAAGTTGTCTCACCGCCTGCCCAGCGTCAACACTCCAGGGGCTTGCGTGTTAGTGGCCCAGTGGCGATTTCTGGGCTTTGGTCACGGCGGACACCATCAGCAGGGTCAGCCTGTCCTGTCACGGCCTCTCCTACCCAGACAGCTGGTATTAGTGTCCCTCATGACTTCGGCATTTTACCTGTTTTCGCTTTTTATTTCTGTACTGGGTATGAACCACCAGGGCCTTACACTGAGTTGCACCCTCAGCACTTTCTCAATTTTTTCCTAAGAAAGGCTCTTCTAAGCTGCTGTTGTCCAGCTGGGCTCAAACTTGGGATCCTCCTGCCTCAGCCCCTGAGTGCTGGTGAGACAGGGTGTGCGTCGCACCTGCTCGAGTTTCCATTCCTTCTTCCACCTCCTGCTCCTCGCTGTCTGCCAACAGGTACGGGCTGCCAGTGAACTTCCAAGCTGTGCTCCTGCAGCCGCACAAGAAGTCGGCCACCAAGCGCTTGAGGGAGGTGCTGAACTCAGTCTTCCGACACCTGGACGAGGTGGCGGCAGCAAGCACCCTGGATGTAGGTACCAAGGCCATCACCAGCGGTGTGGCCAACTTCCCTTACATGCAGAAAGTGCTTGCCAGCCTGCTGGGACAAACCACCCACTCCAGAGCGGACGGTGGCCCTGCAGGCCAAGCGCACAGCAGGCAGGGAGCGCACAGGCGCCAACTGTGTGTCTCTCCTGCAGGCGTCTGTGGAGATCCCCGGGCTGCAGCTCAGCACCCAGGACTACTTCCCCTACGTCTACTTCCGCATCGACCTCGGACTCCTGGACTAGGAGCCCGGGCTTCCTGCAGGGCAGGCAGCACTGCAGCCACCATAGCTGTTGGCTCCAAACCCCGAGATCCTGATTCCCAAAGACAAAAACCAGACATCGTGTATTTATTTTTTTAAGTTATAACAATAAAATGCTCGGTTCTTTGAACTGTCTTAATCTGAATGGTCGCCATTCTGAGGGTTCCATGTGTACCCCGCCTGTCTCCCGGGACGCTAAGTAACTGGGTTCCCCACCTGGGAGTGGCCACTGTGCTGCCAGGCCATCTGGGGACCTCAGGACGCTGCAGGCTGCCACCTACCCAGACAGCAGCATTAGGTGACCAAGGTCTCATCTCCTGTTTTAAAAATGTTTATGGGAAGCCGGGCGTGGTGGTGCATGCCTGTAATCCCAGCACTTGGGAAGCTGAGGCAGGAGGATCACTGCAAGTTCGAGACCAGCCTAGGCTGCAAAGTGAGCTCAAGGCCAGCCTGAACTGCATAGAGACCCTGTCTCAAAAAGACAAAAAAAAAAAAAAAAAAAAAAAAATTATGAGGCCGGGTGAGGTGGCACGTCTACTACTTTGCCACTAATCTCAGCACTCAGGAGGCTGAGGCAGGAGGACTGCCACAAGTTTGAGACCAGCCTGAACTACACAGCCAGACCCTGACTCAATTAAAAACAAAACAAAACAAAACAAAAACTCTTTATGGGGAGGAGCGAGACCAATTTGAGGGCTGAGCTTTACACATAACTTACTGGCTCCAGATGGTGACGTGGACACCAATTCCATACATTTATCGGCATTGGCCAAAATACTGTTTTATTCTTTAATGGAAAAAGCCATTAATATCCAAATAAAAGAATCACATTTTAAAAAACCTACGTGTAAGAAACAGCCTCCGGGAATATTCAAGCAGCAGCTGGAGGGGGAACTGTCGGCAGCCCAGTTTTCTTCAAAACATTATGCAGTACAGCACACCCGACCTGCTGCTACAATTCACAGAATTTTTCAGTGTGTTCTTGAGACGCAGAGTGCACGGCTGCCGTGCCTTCCTGTGGCCGGCCGGCTGGGACGGGTAAAGACCACCAGCAAGTCCACGTGACAAGGCCGCACCTGCACTGCGAGAAAAAGCTGCTTGCGCCCTAGGAAAAGAACTGGGTCGTGCCTTGGATGTGGCCCTCACAACTCGTCCTTCTCCAAGTCGTCCAGCTCCACATCACTGAGGTCAATGTCGTCCTCCACTGGTAGCTGTGGGACAGAAGCCACGGTCACAGGGATGCAGAGGCCACTGGCCTCCTTCCACCAGGCAACCCCGGCTGCAGGAAGTTCCTGCCTTGACCCTGGCGCCTGCTACCCAGATGAGAATGAATGGCCACAACTTGGGTATTGTGTGACTTCTGGGTTATTTTTTTAGTTTTTCTGAGACACTGTGTAATCCAGGCTGGCCTGGAAGTTGTGGGATCCTCCTGCCTCAGCCTAACAGGTGCAAGGATAACAGGCGTACACCCCCACACCCGACTGGAATTCTGATCTGAAATCGTTTCACATTCCTCTGGGACAAAGTAAACAGATTCCAGGTCAAGGACAGCAGAGGGAGAGTGAATGGACGCCACTGCCAGTGACCCTGAACTGGATGACTGTGTGGACCATCAGAAGCACACAGCACTGCAGAGCATGGGTCAGGTGCCCATGTGCGGCCCGGCACTCACCTCGCCGTCCTGGCCATCCCAGGGCTCCCTGGAAATGATGGCAGGAAAGATGCCACCGCCCACAGGTGCTGTAGAGCCTCGCCCGAAAGACAGTTCCCTGAGGAGACAGCAGGCACGTCAGCGCGGACATGAATGGACAAGGTGCGCCTGGTGTGGGCGTGGCACCGGGCCTCAGGTACCGCGGAGTTTGGTTTTTATTCTGAGGCAGGGTCTTGCTGAAGCACTGAGCGACCCAGGCTGGGCTCCAACTTGCCATCCTGCCTCAGCCTCCCAGAGTGCTGGAACTGCAGGTGTGCCCACCACGCCTGGCCTACTGCCTGGTTTTACACACCTACTTTCCAACCAAAACCCACAATGGGGCCGAAGAGATACCACACTGACCGCCCAGGCAGCACAAGTTACCTGAGGAACTCGTTAATGCCCTGTTCGCTGAAGGAGCCCTTGAGCAGGGCGAACTTCATCTTGCGCGCGTTGATGGCGGCCATGGCCGGGTACCCGAACCCGCCTATGCCCAACGCACTCTCCAGCTCCGACTGGGCACCCGCCTCCGTCCACAGCCACCTGCAAAGGCGATGGCCATCGGGACAAAGCCCACATTGAGTCAAATGTGGAGAGCACGTCGTGAAATCCTCAGAGCAGAAGGTTCTACCCTAAGACAGCTTTGTCCTTGGACCCCAAAGGAGCGTCCGCTCTGCCAAAGACTGTTGCGCTTTAGCCCAAGCCCCACCACCACCTGGATTACTGTGCACACACATGCGTCTCGCTGGCCTGGCACATGCATGGGTCACCAGAAGGGTGCCAGGCACCTGGGAGAGCAAGGGCTCTGAGGAGCAGCAAGACCAGCAAGGACGGTCTGCTTTAAGTCTGCCGAGACCCAGCCCCGAGGGGCTGAGCAGACATCAGGGGCTCCGTCAACTCAGTGAGCTCTGTTTGCAGCCTGCAGCCTGTGACTCGGCCTTCTCAGGATGAGGGACAGCCCCTGAGGTGGTGCAGGCCTGTGGGGCAGATGCCTGCGTGGCTGGGTGGGGGTGAGGGGGGCCCAGCAGGAGGTGGCGGGCACTAGGTGCACATTCCCACCCGCTCCAGCTACCAGCTGAGCGCCTGTCAGCTGCGCCCTGGGTTCCCCCCAGGTGCTGCTGCCTTGGAGCAGCCAGCACATTTTTCTCCTTTAAGATGCTTTTCTCAGGTACTTGGTCAGGGGCAAATACCGAACACAAACCCTAGTCGCCACGTACAACAGGATTCCTAAGAAGACAGGCAAGCTGGGGCAGTCGTTACAGTGGAGACCTAGACCCGAGTTTCATGTTCAGAGTGTAGCTTTGGAAGGTGACGGGCAATGGGGCGCTGTGCTCACCCGTGGATCCACAGGGACGAGGTCACAGCTAAATGTGCCGTAGGAGGCGGGGCCTGGTTGGTGGAGTCACTAACTCTGGGATGTAACCCTGAGGCTTTCTTTTTTGAGACTGGGTCTTGTCATGTAGTCTTGAGCGATGTAGCCTAGGCTGCCTCAAAATTGTTGCCAACGGTCCTGCTACAGGCTCCAAGTGCTGGGGTCACACGTACGGGCCACCAACACAGCCGGGCAGGTGCATTCCTACCCGTCTCATCCTCTCTTTCTCTGCTTCCCCTGCCAGGCCCTCCTGCCCCGCCGAGCCTGCCCCGCCGACCCTGCCACACGGAGCAGCCACGGACGGGAGCCACTAAAACCGTGAGCCAGACTAACCTCCCCTTTGCGCTGCGCATCTCTAATGCACAAGCATCTCATAATTAAAGCCCTGCCTTCCTTCTCTCTCCGGAGGAACAACTACTTTTCTTTCTTAAGTAAAAACAGTGGGCAACACAGGAACCTGGGCACAACCTCCAGGAGGCCCACCTCCCTTCCCTTCCACAACAGCGGGGTCCTCCTCACCCCCACATTTTCTTCTTGTATTTGTCTGCCAACTTCAGAAGAACTTCCAGGTAAGCATTCCTGCCGGCCGCTCCTGAGGGAAACAAAGGGGTTGAAGGGTGAAGGAGTCCCCACAGGGAGGGCACTCGGTGGGTCTTAGCTCCCCACTCACCGGTGTCCAGAATGTGGGGCAGCACAGCCACCACGCACAGCTGATGCTCCTCACACGTCTTCTTGGCCACGTCCTCACCGATTATCTGTGGGGACGGGACAGGTGGCGGATGGGGCGAGAGCTGTTGACACAATGGCTATGCGGCTCGTGGTTGAAGGCTTAGCTTGGCATTTCCAAGACAGGGCAGAGAGGCAGAGGCTGCACCCAGGGACACCTCCCACACTGAAGACCTGGCAAGTTGCTCCGGAAGATTGGACTCCTGTCCTCTATTGCTAAGCCCCCACCCCATGGACAGAGCCCCAAATGGCCATGTCTCACGCAGCTTAGGGAGTTCACAACCAGCCTGAGCCACACAGCAAGACCCTGCCTGAAAAACCCAGAGGAGGAAAGAGCCTGACTGGAGCAGATGAGTGCTGCCTCCTGCTTTCATTCCCTATCCAGCCGGCAGGGTTACCTCCAGGAGCTCCGGGGGCGGGGCGTTGTCGGAGAACAGGTCCAGGGCCCGGGAGACAATGTCAGACCGTGTCCGCCCACCATCGTAGTCAATGGGGTCCTCACCTTTCTGGAAGATCTTGATTGTGGGAAAACCCCTGATCTGTTAACAAAGCATGAGAGCAGATGAACACTCTGCACAAAGAAGTCACACTCCTGTGCCTGCTAAAGCTACCACAGCAACGGCCAGTGACAAGCATGGCCTGGCCTGCAGGATGCCTGAGGGATACGCACCCCACCGCACCCAAGGCTTGGCGCGTAACATGGATGTGCTGTACAGAGGCTGCAAGGCAACTCCTACGAGCTGGGGCAGCCGTGGCATCCAGGCAGCAACGCCAGGAGCCCAGCAGCCTGAGGCCTAGACCTGCTCGTCAGCACGTACCGCCCCCCCCCCAGGGCACCGCAGCACTCACCCCATAGCGGCTCGCCAGGACCTGATTCACAGTGGCATCCACAGCCGCCAGCTTCACTCTGCCCTTCGTCTGTTCCTTCACCTCCGTGGCCGCAGCGGACCACTCGGGCTCCAGACTGGCAGGAGGGCACAGCTCAGTGCTCAGGGGCTGGGCTTGTGTGTCCCTGCCCAGCCCACTCCACGTCTCCCCTGGAAGTGCCTCGGGGAGTGCCACAAAGGAAAGACATAGATAGCGGTGACACTCATCTTCCAGGCCGTGCCTACCCCAGCTGGCACCAGGCCACCCTGTGATGTCCTGACAGGACAGGGGACTCCAGGTGCAAGTGTCAGGAGTCTGGTCGCAGCCCTGGACAGGCGCCTCGCAGCACTTACTTTTTGCAGTGTCCGCACCACGGGGCGTAGAACTCCACCATCCACACGTCGGGGCTGTCCAGCACATTCCCATCAAAGGTGTCGTCCGTCAGCTCGATCACGTCCTTCTTACCCGGGCCCTCGCCCCTGCCCTGGCAGCAGACGCAAGCGTCAGACCTCAGCGGGGCATAGAGAACCCTATTCTCCGTCAAGGCGCACCCGGAAGCGCAGCTACGAAGCCCGGGCGTCCTCCAGGGACGGCACAGAGGAAACTGTTCCCGCTTCCTGTGGATGCCAGGGCACCAGCACGGCAACGTGAGGCTGGGTGACCCCTCTGGGACAGCACACACCACTTGCTTTCGCATCTCAGTGGTGAGGTCACCACTCTAACCACTGGGGGAGAGTGACCTCCCGAAAGGGGCGCACAGCCAGCCCCGCGCTGCCTCACCTGCCTTCCGGAGCTCTGGCCCCCGGCGCGGCCGCTTAGCCGGTCCTTCACCAGCTGCCGCACGGCACTGAGTGCGGCATCCACGATGGCCTCTGCAGTCCTGCCGCCTGCGGGAATGGTGGCGTCAGGCAGTGAGCACACGCCCTCAGTCCTATCTGTCCCTGTCCCTCGGCGGCACAGGGACCTAACGTGTCCTGCGGCTCCGGGGCGAAACCCAAGCCTGGCAGCATACCCCTCGCACACAAGCCTGGAGCAGGCCGCCTCCTCGCACTCACATGGGGACCCAAGCCCCACCGAGAAGGCAGCTGGCATGTGCCCCGAGGGACACTCGGACCTCAGCTGTGCAGGCCACGGCACAAGGGCCGTGTCCTGATACCGGCGACACGCGGCGGGCTCTCTGTGGCCCAAACTGTTAATATAATGGGAAATAACAGGAAAGCAGACGGCAACGACTGATCATCCCCTAGCACCTGAAACCAGGGTGTCTAGGAAACAAAGTACAAGGCCCCCAGCCTGGGGACAGCCCAGCAGCCCCGGTGTCCACCAAGCGACCGTCCCCGGGCTGTGCACACGCTGTTTCCGTCACCTCTGGTGGCCTAACACGCCATTCCCCAGACAAGACGCAGCACAGACTGAGACACAGCCGACTCTGACCCATCTATGTGGGCCTGCAGGTGTGGACCCGGCTGCTCCGCCCTCCAGATCTGTGCCCTGGGCTCCCCTGGCCAGGCGTCTGGAGCCCAGAGTCCCCTGTTCATTGCTGCTCCGACTCGTGGCAGAACCTTGAAACATACTTGTTTATAAGACGGAAAATTTGGGGCACCCACCACCACCACCAAGTCTAGGAGACCAGAGTGAGGCCAAAGGCAAAATGCTCGGAGCCGGGCACAAATGCACACGCCTGCCATCCCAGCACACTGAAGGCTGAGGCAGGAGGCTCACCATGAATTCCAGACCAGCCTAGACTACAGAGAGATCCTGCCTCGAATGAGGAGTCAATGCTTATCATAAGTTTACCAGACATAAAAAGCCAGGGGCAAACACTCCCCAGTGACACCAACAGTGCAAGCGCTTCCCCTCCACAATGCAGATCCTTGCTGAGAATTGCAATGTGGTGAAAGCAACACTACTGCTCTGTGGCAGTCAAGGCCATGCGAAAAGGCCCTGACCTTGTCTTTCAGAATAACTAGGGCCGGGCCAGGCAGGTGAGCACGTTCAGGCACGAGCAGCATGAGAAACTTGCAGGCAGCAGGGCTAACGAGTTATAGAATCTAGGTTCTTGCCTACTGTCGTGGCGCACACCTGCCATCCCAGCACTCCAAGAGGCTGATGCAGGAGGATCCCAAGTTCAAACCTAGCCCAGGTAACTTAGCAAGAATCTGCTCAGAATAAAAAAAATAAAGGAACCGGGTGTGCAGCTTAGTGCGCAGGCCCTGGGTAGAATCCCAGAACTGCAAAAAAAAAAAAAAACAAAAAACAAAACACCAAAAACCCCAGGTTCTGGGCTCCAAAGTGGAGTAGTGGGGGATTCCTTACCCTGATAATCTTCCGGTTTGTTTTTGTTGGCTCCGAAGATCTTGATGGTGGGGAAACCCTGGACACCATACTGGCCGCCCAAGGACTGGTGTTTGTCTGCGTCGACAGCCCCGACTTTTACAACATCCTGCAGGAGAGAAGGTGGTCACTTGTGCTTCTCCGGCTGTGACCCCGCATTCCTGCTCCCCAGCGGTCACAAACACAGCCCTGGGGCTCCCAAGGACAGGCGAGTGAGACAGCGACCCCAGTGGGCAGGCCGACGGGCAGGACAGCAGGCTGCAGGAGGCCCTTCAGCACTCACAGCCCCACCACCCCCTGCGCAGGGCTGAGCGGCCGCGTCACCAACCTTCAGTGCACTCGCCACTTTCTTCCACTCAGGCGCCAGCCTCTGGCAGTGACCGCACCTGCGGAGGAGGAGATGGTGACAAGGGGCAGCTGAGCCTTTGCCTCCATGTGCCAAGCCCAACACGGCTTTGGTGTGAAACCTCCATGGCCAGCAAAAGGGACCAGCACTAGGCAAGGGACCCGTGACTCGACACAATCGCACCACGACACAGTAGCCCAACAAAAGCCCAGCAGACCATCATGTGCAGAAACCTTGACTCCCTCGGAAACGGCAGATTCCCACCGGGAAGGCAGCATAAGAAAGGGCCGGGGTATGGTTTAGCGAGGGTGCTGGGCTCTTCCCTAGTACTGCATACTGCGAAACTAAGTAAAATAAAAAACCCGCCATGGGAAGCACAGCGCCCGAGGGAGTCGCCCTGGCTGGCTGAAAAGCATGCGACTCCGAGCAAGGACCGCGAACCCTCGCACACTCAGATGTCACGGGGGACGGGCGAGAACACAAGGAAAGTCATCTCGCAGGAGCTGGTACTTTAGTCATTACAAAACATAACGCAGAAAAGCACCCCAGAGCCTGCCACATTCCCACAGCTCACCGAGGCCACAGGCGTGGTGCTCATTTTGCTGCTGCAAGACACCCCATTTTTTTTTTTTTTTTGGTTTTTTTCCGGTACCAGGAACCGAACTCACGACCTTGCGCTTGCCAGGCAGGCGCTTTGCCGCTGAGCTAAATCCCCAGCCCCGACACCCCATTTTTTGAGACAGGGTCTCACTATGCAGTTCAGGCTGGCCTGGAACTTGCGGCAGTCCTCCTGCCTCAGCCTCCCCAGTGCTGGGATCCCAGGGGTGCGCCACCATGCCGGATCCTCAGGGATGCAGTGGCTTCTAACAGTGGCTTCTGACTGGGTCACTGAGACCACCTCAAGGAGGGTTTCCCGGGTGGCTCTGTCCCCTTCTCTGACGTGTGACAAACGAGACTGAAGGGTCAGGGAACACCCAATGTCACAGGGTACCCAGGGACAGTTGCCCAACAGGTTTGTGTTTATTTGGTGCTGGCGATGCAAGCAGGGCCTCCTGTGTGCCAAGTTGTGGGCTGCCCCGGCCACACCCGCAGCACAGCAGGTCTGGGCGGTGGGTGCAACGTTTCCCCATGCCTGTGGTTGGACAGTGTGTGAGCACTCCAACGGGTCGCTGTGTGACAGCCCGACATGAGAGGTTGGAGACTTGGGGTCGGGGTGCACAGCCAGTCAATGCCGTCTCCCGCCCCAGCTCTTGGGCTGGGGGCATGGGGCTGCCTCGGTACCCAGGTTTGCCCCAGTGTTTCCATGTCCTCCGTGACCGTTCAGCTTCCCATCACCCAGGACGCACTGAGGAAAACTCCGCTGGGGCCAGGGAGTCTGGACTGGGAGCGGTGGCTCCCACTGAGCCCACCTCAGCCCAGTGCTGCCCCACAGCGGCCGCGGCCACCTCACCGCGGCTCTGCTGTCTTGGGCCTGCAGGAGGGCGCGCTTTCAGAACGAAGCATGTTCTCTGGTACTGCAGCCCTCAGGGAAAGGGGAATGGCCCGTGAAACGAAGCCACACTTGCAGCCTGGGCATGGTGGGGCAGGCCTGTGACCCCAGCACTTAGGAGGCTGCGACAGGAGGATCTCAAGTGTGAGCTCATCCTGGGCAATTTAGTGTCTCAGCAAGACCTTGCCTCCAAGTACGAGGGCGGGGCATGCAGCTCAGTGCCGAGCTCCTGGGTTCATCCCTAGTACCGCCAGAAAAAGCTTTTCCAGGGCTCAGCTCACAGCTCATCGTTACAGGCCGAGCTGGCTGCGCTGGCACGGGGACCTGTGGTGGCTGCTCCAGGGCGGTGAGTGTCACGCACAGCCTGCAGCTCGCGCTGAGCCGTCTGCTCTCGCACCCTGGGGCCCTCACTGCTTTACTGCGCAGTGTCGCACCCAATGATGGGACTGAACAGCGCCCGCTCAGGGTCCCTTCGGCCTCCAGCAGGAAGTGGAGAGAAACCGAACCACGCCAGAGTCTCCTGCGAGCCACACGGGAGCGTCAGCCCTCCTCAGGGAGAGAGAGCTCCCTTACTCGCACCCGCTGCTCTGACCAGATTCCTCCTCACAGAATGCGCTCCCGGCAAGTCACCTCCACGCAAGGCCAGATCCCGCATGGCCAATCCCCACGCCTACCCGCAGCGAGCTCACCAGGGCGCATAGAACTCCACGAGCCACAGGCTGTCGCTCTGGATGACCTCTCGCTGGAAGTTGGCCGGCGTCAGCTCGATGACAGCATCACCGGAGGAGTAGAGACCGTGGACGGCCAGGAACAGGGTGCAGCTGACCAGGCCTGCAGGACACAAGGCGTCAGCTGGGGGCGCTGTGCGGACCCCAGGGCCACCAGCCAGTCCTCCCTGCTGCCCACCCACTTCCTGGAGTCACACCCTGTGGCTGGAGGCATTTTCCAGAGTTTCCCACACACGACCACCCTGCTGCAGACAGCCAGCCCTTGACCGCCCCTTTAGGGACGGCAACAACCAAGGTCCCATCTAGTAGTGACCTTGGGCCACCCGCATGGCATTCAGGATCCAGACGAGAATGAGAGTGTTGTCACAGCATGGGCCAGGGATATAGCTCAGTGGCATAAGTGCCTGCCTGGCAAGCGCAAGGTCCTGAGTTTGATTCCCGGGACCAAAAAAAAAAAGAATATTGTCGCAGCGTGAACTTAGCGTTTTCACATCAACAGTGTTATAGAGGAAGGACACTGAGACTGTTATAGAGGACGGACACTGAGACCTGACACCTCAGAAATGAGACACACAGGTTTAAACGGCCCCTGGTTCCTCCAGGTAAGAAGCCCAAGCAAAAGGAAGGATGGAAGACAGCAAGTCAGGAGTTTTCTCAAAGAGGGAGGAGACAAGACTCAGAGGGAGGGCTGGGGATATAGCTCAGCAACACAAGCGCCAGCCTGGCAAGCACAAGGTCCTGAGTTCGACTTCTAATACCGCCCCCCCCCAAAAAAAGACTCAGAGGGAAACCAACAGAGAAGCATCATGTGCATGCATCACCTCTCCATGAGGAATGTGACTGTTATGTACCGCAAACATGGCCTCATACAATGAACTAATGAACCATAAAAAAGGGGAAAAAATAGGCTGGGTATGGTGGTGCACCTGTGATGCCAGCACTGAAGAGAACGAGGCAGGAGGATCACCACGAGTTTGAGGCCAGCCTGGGATACAGAAATCTTGTCTTAAAAACCTAACAAGGGGTAGGAAAGGATGAATGCACCATCCAGCAGGGGGCCAGTGGCCAGCCCAAGACATGTGCTCTACTGAAACCAAACTGCAAAGATTTTGAAGGAGAAAACCTGCACAAAACCCACCCTGCAGTACTCTTCACACCGAGAGATTCTTAGAATGCCTTCTCACATCCTGGTACCCAGGGACCGGGGTGGCTTCACTGCGGGACCCACTCTGAGACAATGGCATGCTTGTGGGGATGCCGCTCATCGGCAGCAGGGCACCACTAGCCGATGCCACCAGTGTGGTCCGTCACTCACAGGGAACACTGCTGGGTGGTGGGTGACTGCGTTAAAATAAATTTTAACAATTCTTCTTTGCCCTTTTAAATGTGGTTGTTAGAAAACCTGAAGTTACTTCACATCAAAGCTTTTACAGCATTTCTATTGAATGGTGCTGCTCAATTACTTTTGCTGCAGAAAAGTACAGTAGTCTGAGCCAGGCTGGGTGGTGCAGGACCCTGATCCCAGCACTCTGGAAGGCTGAGGCAGGAAGAGCCCATGTTTGAGCCCAACCTGAGCAACTTAGCAATTTAACAAGACCCTATCTCAAAAAATAAAGGGCTGGGATGTAGCTCAGTGTGAAGACCACAAAAAAAGCAGAGGAGCCTCTAAGCAGACACTATCCTAACCGTGTGAGGCTGAGTCAAACCTGGCCCTGGAGACCCTCTACGAAGCTCTGCTATGTGTGAGTTTTGTCAACCTGCTGTGAACCAATACTTGTTCAGGACTCTGGGCCTACTGTGAAAATGTCCAAAACGGAATAGCCAAAAAGCTGCAAGGGATTATGGGTTATTTCCTCCAATCTACTTATTTGGGATGGTGGAGCTGGGTTGCTAAGCTGCTACAGACCAAATCTGGATTCTTTTCTGCTTTCCACTATTGCTAGTTTCCAACAATTCTTATACCTCCCTCAACATATGAGTTCCTGAGAAGATTTTCTCAGGGGGATCAGGAAGTCTGGCTAACATCTGAGAGAGTTGTTCACTTACCCTGAAGACATTAGGGTCTCTACTTTTTCTGGAGACAAAGAACAGTAACACATGATTCCTACCAGCTGGATGTGGTGGCACACACCTGTAATCCTAGCACTCAGGAGGCAGAGACAGGAGGATCATTGTGAATTTGAGACCAGCCTGGGCTACAAAGTGAGCTCAAGGGCAGCCTGAACTGCAAAGTGAGACCCTGTCTCAAAAAGACAAAAAAAAGATTCCTACCAACCCTGCCCTAAACATTTTGCATAAGAACCTACACGATGAGCTGGGCATGGTGGCACACCTACAATTCCTGCAGTGTGGAGCATGAGGCTGGAGGATCCCTGGGCTACACATCAGCCACACCCCTGCCCTCAGGCTGATACCCGAAAATGGACCATAGTTTTGTACATGACTGCTGACAGTGTAACACAGACATTTTTCCCCCTCTGGTAACAGTAATGGACTTTTTTGGGGGTGGGGGTCTGAGACAGGGTCTCAATTTGTAGCCCAGGCTTGCCTTGAACTTGAAATGATCCTCCTGCCTCAGCCTCCCAAGTGCTGGGATCCCACGTGTGTGTGCCAGGCCCTGGCAGGTGACAGACTTTTTGTTTGCCTTTAAATTCTGCCTGCTTTCCTTAAGAACCTCCCTCCTTATACGCGGCCATCCACTGAAACCCTCCCCATGTTGTCTTAGACCTAACTCCGTGAAAGGAAACGCCACCCAGCAGAGTTAGAAGGAAACCAAATGCACTTTGTCAGGGGCGTATAAGTTCTGACAGCTGAAAGTGGCCAAGAAGGGTCCCTTTCACCCGCCACCCACAAACTCTGGGGCTCATTTACTGATGACTACGATGACAAACGCGGCTCACGTGGATCAACATGGCCTGCTGCTAAAATTCACACGGACCCTCCACTGCGTGCTAGGAACCTCCGAGCGAGCGGGCAGCCGGTCCCCACCTGTGGCCTCGGCGCCGCCCGCAGCAGCCACCGGGAGCCGGGAGGTCCCGGAAAAGGCCGTCTCGGCCGGCTGGCCTGACGGGCTACTGGACAGAAGCAGTCCCTGCGCCCGCCCCGCCGCCCTCTGGGAGACCAGAGGCCGCAGCGGGGCAGCGGGGAGCGGCGGCGGGGTCCCGGGGCTCCGAGACGCGCGTAGGAGCTCCAGCCCGTCTCCGCGGCCCCGTGGGAGGCGGCCGCTCAGCACCGCACCCGCTGCGAGCAGGGCCGGGGCCCGGGGCTCCGCGGCTGTTTGCTCTGGGGGTGCGGCCGGCCTCCTCCCCCGGCAGCCCTTCGGTACGCCGAGAAAGGTCTCGCCAAGTCGCTCAGGCTGGGCTGGATCTTGCGACCCTCCTGCCTCGGCCTCCCAGAGCGCAGGGATCCGGGCGTGCGCCTCCCGCCCGGCGGAGGACGTCCGCGGGAACCGCACACGCGGGCAGCCCGGGCGCGGAGCGGGTCCCACGCTCTCGGCACAGGCAGGCCGGGGCCGGGC